CAAAATTCGTTAGACTTAAGAATAATGTCAAATCAATTTTTGATCCACACGCTACCCCCTACAACCTTCTATTTTCCAAATTGATAGACAAAGAGAGTGCAAAATTGGATTCAAATCCGAGGTTTATGAACATCCACGGCATTGCTACATGGCGATATTGTGGATCGAGCTTAACGTTGAGCTGGATCTATACCGGTGGCGCGTGTAACTCAGCGTGCAGGTGTAGCACGCTAATATCGGGGATAATGAACGATGATGGACGTGCCGTCGCGTGCCCTTATCGCGGGCTCGTGAATTAACGCTATCGAGTCCTTAATGACCGACGTCCTTGATTTCCCGTGTCCCTTGAACTCGAACGTTTGTCAAGGTTGATCGGTGTCCCTCGCGCGCAACCGGTTTCGGCTCGTTTTAATGATCGATTAACGAACATCGAATGTCTCGTATCCGAACCCGACTCCGCACGCCCTTCGTTAACGACGTTCTCTCGTTTCTGCTTTCCAGGTGGTGCTGTCAGCGTGCAGCACGTACTTCGACACAATTCTGTCCCAGTACGAGGAGAAAGACCCGATCGTCATAATGCGTGACGTGAAATTCTCGGATATCAAGGTCCTGGTCGAGTTCATGTACAAGGGAGAGATCAACATCGATCACGTGAGTGCTTTTGCAGTAACCGTTTGCTTCAACCCTTTGCACTCGAGGCTTTTTTCGCCAAGACGAACCAACTCGAGACATTTCGCAGCGTTTCTGGGGAATTTCTTACCTCTAACATAAAATGATTACACATACAAATTAATGTATAAAATGTATTTTATGTTTCAACATTTTGTGTATCTTTACACATTTCCGAAGATAATTTCTCATACAATAATGTTTGTAATTTTGCTTTTTTTTTCCAAACGAAGATAACAAAAGTTTTATCTTTGTTTGAAGGAGTATCATTCTACACTTCTTAAGATTATACATATCAGGTTGTCCCGAAAGTTTCTTTCGCGAGTTGCACTCGATTATTTTATGTGGTCGTATTTATATAAATAGACAATCTAATTTCATAGATATTCATGTTGTAACAGTAGTGGAGCAAAGTGTATCATGCACAATTCAATAATGTAACATAAAACATAAACTATTGTGCATGTATTACTTATTAATAAAGCGAAAGAAACTAATAAAAGCAAGAGAAAACACATTTAAGGCGAGATATGCACGTTTTGCTTGAAAGCGCAGATAAAAACGATGTATGAATAAGGCCCAAAGAGCTTAGAAACCCACCTTCAAAGAAATTAAGCGAGAAAGAAATCATTGTCGCGCATCGAGTCCTCCGCATCAAACCAACCAGTTAGCGAGAGACGCCTCTCGAGTGCAAAGGGTTAATATTTTATCGACGACTACCTCTGTTAGATTCCGATTTATTACAAGTTCGGTTTCTAATACAATTCGGTACTTAGAAACTAGATTACCGCTACGTTCCTACTTCTGTTGTATTATGTTACGAAAAAGCTCGAGAGAGGAGTTCTGGTGTGCCTTATAAAGGTTTGTGTTTAAGCATTCAGAAGGTGGTGGAAATAAGAGGAAGGACCAATGAGAATCGTAGGATGTTAACGAGTTGGACGTGTTATTCGCAGTTAGTGAGTAAGGGTACAAGGGTCGGATGCTTAGTTGGTGATGTGTGTGAAGTTAGTCCCGCACTTTTCGAATTTTTGATTTTTTTCAATTATGCTACATTGTGCTACGTTCGTGCCGTATTGTGCCGTAAACCGCAACTCTGTAAGCGAAAGCGTACTCAAGAAAATAGAACAAAACCAAATTTTTGATAGCCCCGCACTTTTCGAATTTTCAGTTTTTCTTTCTTGTGCCGTATTGTGCTATATTTGTGCAATTTGTATAAATTACATACGTAAAATTTTAATCCTAAAAGGTGTTAGTTAACCTAGGGCGTTATTCAACACCTGTCCAATTACCGCGTCTTTCGGCTCTCGTCGTCAACAATTAGTTCTATAAACAAAAAAGATACGCCGCTGTCCGGATGCTGTCTGGGCGCACGTGTCCCTTTGATTTCGGCTGCTGTCCATCTCAAAACCCATGCCGCCTTTGTCGCGCTCTACTAAATTACAAAGTACCAATTTCGCTATGTTCATAGAGTTTCGAGATGCTGCTCGTTCCCCAAAAACCTTCGACGAGAGCTCCTCTATCTAGCCTCGTTTCCATCGAACGGTTTCCGTTTCCGAGTCGTCAGGAAGTCGCTCGAGACTCTTTGCTGAGCCGCGCACAAAGCGATGTTCGACGCGGTCTGAGAAACGCTGTTTCCCGGTCGCGCTCGAGTGGCGAAATTAAAACTGATTAAAGAAATAAAGCCACGGGGAACGCGCTCCTCTCGGTCTCTTTTCAGGCTCGATAGACGACTTATTTACATCGTGGACATTACGAGGGCACTTGTGTTCTTCCCCGCAGCGAGGACGGGAATAAAAAAATAAAACGTGTCGCGGGGAACGGCGCAGAGGGGAGGAGGGAACGCGGCTGGCCTCAATTTATTAATAATTGAAGACCCGTGCCTCTTCGAGCTTCGAACCTTGCCGCACTTCAAAGCGAGTTCCCATTAATCCCTCGGCAAAAATCGTCGCGAAGATGCAATTTGTTTCGAGGCACGGGAGCCAATCGGTTCTTTTCCGTTCCTCTTAGGGGAGAGACGCGCAGCGAGGGGGGCCTCTTTGTCGGCGATCGCAGTGAAAATCGAACCATTCGATAAACCGAGCGTACGGTGGCTAATTAATGATTGGATAGAATTGGAAGTATCCGAGGAGTGCCGCGCGAGGGGTAGCAGATAAAGGATAGCGGAAGTGGATGCGAGGAGGTGCATGTTTGATCTTTGCTGCGATCCTGAGTTTCTCATGTGTGTGAAGTTAGCCCCGTTCTTTTCGAATTTTTGATTTTTTTTTTTCAATGGTGCTACATTGTGTTACGTTTGTGCCGTCTTGTGCCGTAAATAAGAGATCGATAACGTCAATAACAATTAAGAAAGGAAATAAAATCAAAATTATACTGTTCCCGCGCCTTTGTCGAAACAAACTTTTTTTTCTATAGAAAGATGCGTACTAACTTGTGCTACATTGTGCCATTGATAGAAACTCGTTATCTCTACTCATTTTGCAAATAAAAAATGTTGAATTTGAAGGAATGAAAAATTCAATATTCGCACAATTTGCGAACGGCGACAGATCATCAAATTTTGCAAAGTTGTGCTAAATTGTGCTACTTACAATACACGAGACGTATGCGTTAAAAATTGAGATTAGCTCGAGGGTCAACAAAAATTAACAAAAAACGGTGGGGGTGATTGAACATTTCGATATTTCCGAATTTTCTTTGATTGTGCCGGATTGTGCTAGACTGGCACAACGACTTTTCCTAATTACAAAATCTCAGAAAATGTTTTCTAAGTTTTGTTGGCCCTCGAGCTAATCTCAATTTTGAACGCATACGTCTCGTGTATTGTAAGTAGCACAATTTAGCACAACTTTGCAAAATTTGATGATCTGTCGCCGTTCGCAAATTGTGCGAATATTGCATTTTTTATTCCTCAAAATTCAACATTTTTTATCTGCAAAATGAGTAGAGATATCAAGTTTCTATCAATGGTACAATGGAAAGTTTGTTTCGGCAAAAGTCCGGGGCTAGTATAATTTTGGTTTCATTTCATTTGTTAATTGTTATTAATGTTATCGATCTCTTATTTACGGCACAATTCAGCACAAATATAGCACAATACGGCACAAGAAAGAAAAACTGAAAATTCGAAAATTGCGGGGCTGTCAACAATTTTGTTTTGTTCTATTTTCTTGAGTACGCTTTCACTTACAGAGTTGCGGTTTACGGCACAAACGTAACAGAATGTAGCACAATTTAAAAAAAAATCAAAAATTCGAAAAGTGCGGGGCTAACTTCACACACATGAATTTCTCGGTTCTTTGCGCGCCGATCCGTTTCCAACGAAGAATAGCCTCGAGTTCGGTGACGTCGGAAATCTTAGGGCTTAGATTCGATTTAGAAAGAATTCAGAGGTGACAGCTCTAGCTTCAACCCTTTGCACTCCCAATTACATTTCAATTTCGTTACCAGCAGCTCTCGACCCTTTTAAGTGATTTATTTCAACCCTTTGCACTCGAGGCCTTTTTTTCTGGTATCTATCATCAACTCGAGATGCTTTCTTAGCATTCTATCGTCACGAATTCTAAGCTTAGATTTACTTCGAAAATGAGATCTCTAATTTAAGATTTAAAAATCAGGTCAACGACAATCATTTTATTGGCACTTCGAGTTCCAAAGAAATGAAACCTAAAGGAAACCTAGTGGCGAGAGTCACCTCTCGAATGCAAAAGGTTAAATTTTCTTTAACTAAAAGTCAAAGTAATGTAAGTAAATGAAGGAAGAAACAGATTCGTTTAAATATCAGTTTTATTCTCACTTTTGTTATATTTTGTCATTTTCAAGTGTATGGTATATCTCGAAACAATTTCTTTTCCCTATTGATTTGGACATGAAAGAATGTCGAGTGGGACTCGACATAGGAGCTCCTGAGATGAAAACTGATGACGAGTCACATTCGACATAGGAGTGCAAGGGGTTAATGTAATCGTGGCATTTTCTTGGCATTTACAAGTGTGACGAAGTTCGGTTCTTCGGTGTTTGACCCACTCGAAGAACGTCCAGGAGGAAGTAGGAAGCTCTTGAAAATATCTGCTGAGATCAAATTTTCTTTATAGGCCATTTGAAACTACCTAATCGAAATTTATCGTGGTATTTTTGTTATTTCATTCAAGAATTTTATTCAAATTTATTTTCATTGATACTCAATATTCAGAATTAATTTTATTAGTTCTTCAGTGAAAAGCACTGTATACAGCTGACACGTTTTCAAACGTTTGTAAGAAATTTTTCATTAAAAAAAAATATCATAATTGCAGCCCCCAGCGAACGGCTACTTATTTTCGTCCGCAGCGAAAGTGTTAAACGGTACATGTATATTATCGTTGCGATTAAATGCATAAACATTCCTGATCAACCGATTAGCCTCGCTCTCCATCTTCGATTCAGGAACGTCTTACCAATAATCCCGCTGAAACATCATTTTTCGTTCGGTGGAAGAATCAACCAACCACCTTTCGCAAGCTCGTAACTATATCCGCCGCGGCAAGAAAGGCAACAGCAGACTCCGCAACGGTCCGCATCGCTCAGTCTTGCGTCGCGAAAAAAGATAAATTACGCTCGACCAATGAGCACCGGTTAATTAACTAATAACGACCGCGTTCGATCGATAGCACCCGTTCCCGGCTGCGCAAAAACCATGCGAACCGTGCAGGTAACGCGGGAGAAAAACCGACCGCGTAAACTTAGGAACGAGTCCCTTACCCGCCGGAGAATTTCATCGGGGGAATCCTGGCGCATTTTTGATGCGAGGAATTCCCGTGTCCGCTCTCTAGCAGCAGCGTATGTTAACGCTGACATATTTATCGCGGTATGTTGCCTTGTCTTTGGCTTTCGCGATTCCGTGGCTTCTTGCCTCCCTTCGTCCTGTCTACGACGTATGGTAAATCCGCATCGCGGTGTTAGCCATTCAGTCGCTTTTTTCCGTGCGAAAAAGCGAACACGTGCAATCG